ACACACACACACACACACACACACACACACACACACACACACACACAGAGTCAACAGACAAAGCAAGAAAGAACGAAATTAACAGGCACCGGGCTGTTTGTCTGGAGAGATGTAGGCTGTGGGAATTTATCGATGGGACGAGGTTTCTAAATATGACCTGAGAGGAGTGATTGTGACAGGCTGAGTGTGAGGACGTGAGACGTGTGTAGTGAACGTGCATGTGGTGTGTGTGGTGTCTGTGTGCACGGGAGAGAGACAGAGAGACACAGACAGAAAGACAGAGGCGGGGCTTGGAGGAGGAGGCGGGATGCTCTGGTCCTGCTGGAGGGCACGATGACCTCCTATTCCCGGAGTACTGTGGGGAGGCTGCCCCAAGAGCCTAATGAGGCGGGGTCCTGCAGAGAATTAGAGCTGAGGGCTGTGCGTTCGCGTGCCACCTTTGCTAACCCTGACCAAGTCCTTCCACCTGCGTGGGCCTCAGTTTCCTCCTCTGTAAAATGGGGGAGGGTGTTTACACTCACTGGACAGCCCCTCGGGTCCTGTGTAGCCCAAAGTCGCCCGGCTCAGGGTCAGAGTTAGGGTTACTGTCCGGATGGGGGAGGGGACGATCGGGCGGCTTGGGGAGGAGCTCAGGGGCGGGGAGGAGCCGGAGGTGGTGGGGGTGGGAGGGTGCCTAGCCGTGACACAGCAGCACTGCCGCAGCCAGCCCGCCCGTCAGTGTGTCAGTCAATCCGCTGCTGCGGAGCTGGGGCGCAGAGGCCGGGGGTGGACCGAGCAGTACTGGGCGGCAGCCTGCGGGCTCCGGCTCCTCCCTCCACCTCCTGCATCCTCCATCCTCCCTCTTCCCTCCTGCCATCACCGCCGCAGCCGTCGCTGCCTGAGCTCATCCCAGAGGCCCGCAGCTGCTGCAGCGCCAGGTAACCAGCCCCCGCGCCCTTGACCGAGACCATGACAGTGACCATGACGCGCCCCCTCTGGGTCCAGGGGCAGCTAGACCGGCGCGAAGGCAGAGCCCGGGGATGGGGGGTTGGGGGGGCACCCCCCTCTACTGCCTCCCCTCCCCCCGGCCCCCGGGAAGACCGAGGTCCCCGCGAGCCCTTCCCAAACAATCCCTTATTTCCTGGCCCTGAGGGAGAGGGACGCCCCCCACTGAGTCAGAGCCCTGGGAGCTGAGCTGTAGTGGAGGCCAGGGGATGCTGCTGCGCAAGCCCCCACCCTTGCCACGCCCTCGGTAGGGCAGGGCCCGGCCAGCTGCTTTGTACACGCACTCTCCTGTGGGGATGTGGGAATACTTTTCCTCTTTAATGTAAGAAAAAAAAAAGAGCCCGGCCTTCGGTAAGGTGGGGGGAGGCGTTGTCAGCTTAGTCCCTGACCCCCGGCTGCTTCAGCCTTGCTCCCAGTTCTGTGCTATTAGCTCCATCATCCTCCCCCACTTACTGGGGGATTGTTAACCAGAAGTCTCGGGATGATTCGGGGCTAGGCCCTTCCCCCACCGCCAGGGGCTCATGACTCAGAGTAGGGGGAGAGGACCAAAAAGGTGTGATAATAAATCCACAATCCGTTTGGGGGGATTCATCACAAGTGCAGCCAGGAGGGTGCCCTCAAGAATTCCTGCTTGGAATCCTGGTGGGACAAAGAACTCATCCCCTTGGGCCTCTTTTCCCCATCTTGGCTGGTTTCTTCCAGAAAATGATGAAGATTCCCTCGGTGAGCTTGTCTTTAGCCATCAGACTTTCCTTCTCCGTGCCAAATCACTGATATCATGAAAACAGGGCCCATTTCCTTGGCAGTCTAGGTTTGAGTGCCTCAAGGTTCCCTCTGTCTTTCTTCTTCCCATCCCTATCCTTGGGCCATTTCCACAACAGAAGTAGAACCTTAGAAGGAGCTTCTGCCCTCAGAGCCAGCCCAAGAGACCAGCCTTGTGAATGCATTTCAGAAACCATCAGGCTAACAGAGTTCTGGCTGGGAAATGGGGGTGGTGGTGGTGGTGGTGGGCTCCAGTTGGTCAGCTATCTTCAGCCAGTGCTTGCCCAGCACTCAATTCAGAGAACCTGGGCAGGGTTCTCAGGCTGTCCCCTCATCTGTCAACCTGCTCCCTGAAGAGCAAGAAAGGTAAGCGAAAAAATCAGCTGAGCAGAGGCCATTTCTTTGAAATCCACCATCTGATTTCCTTTGCATCTGGCCTTATTTCTTTTCAGGCCTGGTCATGTGCAAAGGGTTTCAGCAGGTCACTTGACAGGGTCACTGAGTATATGATTGTTGGCAAGGCTAAGAGAGAGACTTCTGCATGATAGCTCTATCAGGGGCATTCAGAACTAGTTCAAGGATTGGAGCCAATGGTGTGTTGGCATCACGAAAGGAGGTCTCTAGTGGTCGTCCCTAGAGATCAGTCCTTGGCCCTGCTCCGTTCAGCACTTGTGTCAATGTGTTGGACGTAGCCATAGTTGGAATGGTGGTCACGTTGGACAGCACCAAGCTGGGCAGTCTGGTGAGTAGCTTGGATAAGCAGAATCCTTTAGGAGTCCAACAGGTAGATCAATAGACTGAATCCAAAACGATGTCCTTTAACAGGGAGAAATGAACTTTTGCATTTGGATTCAAGAAATGAAAGTGGGGGCTCAGTGGCTAGACCTCCAGTGGAACCCTGGGGGTTTTGATGGACTTCAGGATGAGTCACCAGGGTGAGAGGACAGCAGAAAAACCTGGAGAGGTCTTTCTAGCCTGGTCAGATTAGGCATGGAGCTCAGGTCAAGTTCACCACATTTGAGGAAGGATGTGGAACAGCTGGAGATTGTGCAGAGGAGGGAAGCCAGAACGGTAGAGGCCTTGAGTTCATTTATAATGAGGGAGAATTGGGAAAAGGAACTGAGGATGTTTAGCTTGGAAAAGACTCCAAAATGGATGGAAGAATGGGGAGGAGGCTGATCTATGTTCTCTGGCCCCACATGGAAGAGATGGGGTTAGATCTCTCTACTTCAGAGCACAGAAGTAGGAACGATGGGTAGAAATGGCCAAAAGGCCAATCTCAGCTCCATATAAGGGAGGCTGTCCTGAACATCAGAGCTGTCCCAACAAAAAAGGAGCTATGTAGGGAAGGAGTAGCTTCCCCATACTGGAAGTGCCTAAGTGGCGTGTCAATGGCCCCTGACTGGGGACACTATAGCAGGGCTTCTGATTCAGATCTGAATTGGATCAGGAGGGCTCTGGGGTCCCCTAAGTCTCGGAGTCAAGGTCATATGACCTTTCCTGGCCAACATGATACCCTCGATAAAATGATCTCTGAAACTGTCCTGAGGATCACTGGTTAGAGAGCTGGAGGGACCCTTAGAAATCCTCTGGCTGTGCCCTGTCATGATACAGATGAGGAAACTGAGGCACAAAGGTAGTCAAGTGACTTCTTCAAGGTGACCCAGGGAGTGAGCAGCAGAAATTTGAGCCCAGGGCTCTTACCTGTGCATGAGATGATCTCAAGAGAGTGAAGCCTACTCTCTTGCTTCTAGAAGCTGATTTTCCCCTGGCCTGGGTCCTCTGTGCTTGTTTCATGGGCACAGACAGGGTTAGACACTGTTTGAAAGGGCCCTCCTTGCTAGTGTATCACTTGTGAGCACTCACATGCTTCTGTGGCTGGTCCTTGGCTCCCAGACCATTAGTTTTTTTCTTGTTTGTTTGTTTTTTGTAGGCAATTGGGGTTAAGTGACTTGCCCAGGGTCACACAGCTAGTAAGCGTCAAGCGTTTGGTCTGAGGTCGGATTTGAACTCAGGTCCTCCTGACTTCAGGGCCGGTGCTCTATCCACTGCACCACCTAGCTGCCCCTGATCCCAGACCATTAGTAAAAATGGATTATATCTTGTGGAAGATATGTATGAAGTGAAAAAAAAAACTAGGCACAGTGATGGAACCATGAGAATAGAAGATCAATCCCATGAAACAGCTTGCTGTGGAATCAGGGCAACAAGTCTCCTGTGAGAAGAGACAGGAAGTGCCCATTCTTCCTTTGGTTGGGGAGGTGGGGGACTATGGGTGTGGAATGTTGCATACTCTGTCACACGGTAGTCTCTTGGTTTTGCTGAATTATTATTGTTTTTCTTTGTCACCATGGAAGGCTCATTAGGGTAGGTCTGCATCTGGAAATAACTGTGGCATAAAAACAAGGGGGAAAAGAAGGAAGGAAGGAAGAAAGAAAGAGAGAGAGAGATAAAGAAAGAAAGAAAGCCAAATAGTGCTTTGAGCCTTTGGAGTGGCCCCTGAGGAAATTTGGGGTAAAGCATCTAGCCACACTTGGGTTCTTTGAAATTCATTCCTATCCACTTGTGTCTCTCTCCCCTGTGACCATGTCAGGCCATCCCCTTGCTGCCTCCATTCCAGCTTGGCTCGATGGGGAAATGGCTTCCTTCTCACTTTGACCATGTACCAAATTCAACATCCAAAGCTCTGGGTGGAATCACCTGGCACAGGTGGGGCTATGGGAGGAAGCCATTGCCAGAAGCTGGCCACCGAGGGTCAGTGGCCTAGGCAGGGACAGCACCACTTCTGTCTTGGATTTCTTTAGAGGCCATGTTGGAGGAGGTGGGGCAGGATTCTTTTCACAGGCCAGAAGAAAGAGCTGGGGGTCCTGGGGGAGGCCCTGCCTGTCCCTGTCCTGGTGCCCCTCCTTCTTTGGAGCTTCCTCCAAGGCTGTTCTGGTTCTGCCCCTACAGTCAGGCTGAACAGAGATAATCACAATTGCTGACATTGGTAGAGAACCTTAACCTTAACCTTACAAAGTGCTTTACCCATGTGATCTCATTTCTTCTCACAACAGCCCAGGGAGGTAGGGGCTTATTAGAGGATTGTTATCCCCATTTACAGATGGGCAAACTGAAGGGGTACATTACTTGACCAGGATCCCACAGCTAGTGTCTGAGGTAGGATTTGAACTCTTGTCTTTCCTGACTTTGAATCCAGAGCTCTGTCTACTGTGCCAGTTAGCTGCAGTTCATGGGACCTTTCTTTGAAGACTGCTCTGAGTCTTCTCTGGTCCAGGAAGTGTGCTCAGGTCACTCAAGCTTCCTGCCCACCTCTCCAGGTTGCCTCCTGAGACAGGGGCCATGGACCCGGATCTCAGAATGAGTGAGTCTAGAACACTGACATTTCAGTGTAGACCAGAGGTCCTGTGTCCCACTGGTGTCCTATGTCTTCCAGTTCTGTGGATCCATTTAACAACTCTCTTGTGTCTTTCCTTGGGGACACTAATGGGGAGCCACAGTAGACATGGTGGGAGAGATGCCCAGAGGTGCGGATGGGCCATGTTCTGGGCCCCAAGATTCTCACCTTGTGTCTGATGCTTCGATGTCCATTGGAGGCCACTTGTCATGGCTCAGCCAAAGTGGCCTTGAACCCAAAGCTTGGGGTGGGACAAGAGACTGGAAGATACCTCCCACTCCCAGGGATGTGGACTGAATGAGGAATAACATAGCCCTTTTCCAATGCAGGGGGAAGGACTGAGGAGCTGGGGTCCTAGTCCTAGGGGCCCAAGGCAGGTCTGACCTCCCCTGTCTGGGCCTTAGTTTCCTCATCTATGCAATGAGGGGATGGCACTAGATGACCTCTAAGGGCCCCACTAATTCTAGCAGTTTGTGGCACCTGCTGGGATGGAAGGTGGAAGGCATCTGCGGTGACATGTTTAAAGGGTTTTGCATGTTATGAAATTCTAAAGAAGGGATTCCAACAAAGACACTCCTTTCCAGCTGGTCAGTTAGCACTTCTCTATTTCTGCAGTCATGTCAAACATTTCCATATTAGTCATTTTGTACAAAAAGACTCCAATAAAAGAAAAAAATGCAAGAAAAAGGTGACAAATAGCCTGCTTCAGTCTGTGTTCAAGCAATGTCAGCTCTTCCTTTGTGCTTCATCATGGGATTGTCTTGGATCATTGTA